ATAGGAGAACACGATATGAGGGGAATCGAGCCCGCTGTTTTTCATTGAACCGAGCGGCGATTAATCACAATCGCGCGCGTCTCGAATGGACGCGCACCTATGGCTGCGAGGCGAGTTTTTCATCCCTTGGGACGAACGTCAAAGAAATTTAACAGCTTGACGCGAGAGTACTTATTATTTCATTATCGACAAAATTAGTAGTTGGGATTTTCATTAAGAGTATAAGTAAATTGATATAGATGGAGAAAATATATAGTATATATATATATACACAAAAAGTATTTTCTCTCTTAGAATTTATCCTCGAAATCGCGGGACAATATATGGTATTGAAAGAATATAAATATTTACCACATTAAAAATATTAATATCTATCACATAAGATATAAAATATGTTCGATTACTTCTATGTACGGATATTAATATTTTTTATTGCGGTAAATATTAATCAGAAAAACTCTTATAAAATGTGTAAAAATGGAAATATTATTAAAATATGCGAACAATTTTTATAATTATAAAAACGCGTTTTTTCGACATTATGTAACAAGTGTTTCTCTAAATGAAATTGTACTGAATTTAATTGAATTAAATATACTTTTTTACGTCTGCTTCGCGTTAAAATCACGAATCTATTAACACACAGCGCAATAATTTCCACGTAATCGTCGTCTCAACAGCTTGTACCTTTACGCTGCTTAACGCGATATTTTATCTAAACTGTATAACAAACGTTGGACGATTAAGTCTTATTCGTCGCGGTCGATTTATATAAAGTCGACTATATCGCGCACGCTCTCTCACGAACTTTTTTACTTTGCTCCGTGGCTTTGCACGTATAATCGTTCGATAATATCGAGACATGGCTCGTGCCAGAACCGATTAGAATTCTTAACGGCTCGCATAAAAGGTGGAGCACGGCATGAGCGCGTCGTCTCTTAATAAATTTTGCGGCACGGTAATTCGCGGCCGGCATCGAGATGATAATTAATTTTTCCCGGAAATTTACGTGAGAGAGAGGGGAAAAGGTCTCGTCACGGCGATATAAAAATGCTTACGTTTTTGTCGCTGTTATCTAACGTAACGTCATATCTTCACGACAGTATTACGACAATATAACTATCTTATCGTCTGAGAGGGTACTCGCACTTTGAAAGATATATATTTGAACACAGTGGCATAGCTTCTACTTCCTTGAATTCTTCACTGATTTTTTATACAAGAACAAATATGATAACCTATCAATAAGAAGACTAATTTCTGGTAGTCTATATTTTCATATTTTCCATTTTAATTTAATTATCCATATTAATTTAATTTTTCATTTCAAAATTATATATAAGTAACATAATTCTTCGCGTCTTCTTGACGAGGTCAACTCTGCCGCATTTCTTAGACTCGCAAAATATATACTCGACGGGATAAAAGGATAAAGTCAAATGTGGAATAACCGGCGAGCTTTTCCACTTTCATGCGATCGGCGATAAATAACTATCAACGCTCTTCGCGGAAGATTCGCCGGCGTTATGAAAAGGTCTCCTCGAGAGCTCGCGAGTGCGTTATCGGACACATTGTCGTCGTGGCTAGGCTGTCGTACGTACACACACATATATCCATATCTACATATATATATGTATATATATATATATATATGTATATATATATATGCATCTGCGAGGGTGTGTTTGCACACGTTATACGCGCTCGGTACGGCCAACGTAGGGACAAGAGAGGCGATATATAATGTTCCGCGATATTAAACGGGACGCATTCCACCGAAGCCACCCTCTGGTCCCTGCTATGAATGCTTCTACGCGACCCCCTGTCTCCTGTCTCACCTACCCTCTCCTGTTCCCCTCCGCCACCCTCTCGTCGACTATCTCCGAAAAGCGGAACGAGGAGGAGAGATAGGGAGGGAGATAAATAGATGAATAGAGATAGAGAGGATAGACCTGGCCTACTCGACCAGGACCACCCCCGAATGGTTATACGCCAAATTTACAACTTAGCCAGTGCCACTACCACCACAAACATGGCATTTACTATCACCCTCGCAGAGTGCAACTATGATACACGCGTCTATATATACTGTGTACGATTCGGGCATGAAGCGAACGAGAAGGTTTTCCCGATGACGAGGTGCTTCTGCGAAGTTTGAACAAACGATCGTGTATTCTGTTTCGCGAAATTTTTGTTCTATAGTATTATTAATATATATCTATTATAAATTAACGTCGCAGGTTTTCGATATAATTCTATTATTCGAATTGTTAAAAATATAATATATATTCGCGAGTAATTGTAGATGAAATAAGTAGTCGTAGATGATGATTCGCTTTTTGAAAGCCGCAGGGTTCACTGCACCCGCGATATACTGCGGAAACTAAACTCAAGAATGTGTTGAAAGATGGACATGGCGATCTCATTCTCGCGAATGTTCGCGACATTCCAAATGTTCGCCTCTCTCTCTCTCTCTTTCTCAAGTTTCTTCATTCGTCGCATTGTTGCAACCTCCGCTACGAGTGTTCCACATTGCCCATAATTCTCATTTCAGTAGAATCTCGATGAGATTTAGTAATTTAATAGTCTAAACACATTGTGTTGTAAAGTATAACAAAGCGCAATATTAAATGTTGAATCGAGAAGTTTTATTTCAAGACGCATACAACGTCCTGTAATGAATCATTAAATTATTTAACGGCACCGCAATGTTTTTTTACGATGATATAAAAATGAAGAAAGTAGATTTCTCTTTGGTCTTTTAAAGTCTTGTAAGGTAGAATTATATTTGTCAAAGAAATAGAAAAATATGACACCTACACATCACATTAAAGCTCATTATTTATATATACGATATTTCCAAGTTATATTTACAACATATCGATAAGCGTGACACGAATTGAAAAAAAAAAACTCTACGAATGCAAATACAAAAAAGAGGTATCCTCTGCTGCGAGACTATGTCGCGCATCGCTGTAATACAAGATTCATGAAATATCGCTTTAAGTGTCCTCCTCGTAGAAGGCCAAGCAATTCACTGAATCCGGCCTATTCGAGCGACGCGCCCGCGCTCGCCACCGTCTCTCTTCGCGAGCCGAAAATTTGTCGCGATTCAATCATTACTCAACAAGCCGGACCGGGAGAATTTAGCACCGTAATATCCTAGCACCGAGCCAAAATGGATAACGGAGAAGGACGTGGCACGTTCGCGACCTCTGCCGCGATCGTAGTAGTAGCCGCCAGGACATTCCGAGGTTTCGCCGACGAGAGAGAGAGAGAGAGAGAGAGAGAAGCACCTCCCTCTCAAAGTTCCTGCACCCTATCACGACCGCGTGTGCCTGGTCATACCCTATCCTTCATCCGAACATTTCCATCCCTTGGTGGGTAACCTACCTCTCCACCTCTCTTCCACCCTCGACTCTGCCAGCAACGCCGAATGCAACCATACGTCATCCGCTGTGATCTATGTTTTCCACCCTTTCCCCAGCACGGACTCTCTCGTGCACGTGCACACACGTGTGTACCTATATAACGCATATACGTTTCGGCGCGCGCACATACGTTAACTCGTGCACGTGCGTCTCTATTAAGCCACCACTCATTTTGCAGACTGCATATATTGCACTCACATGTTCATCGTTGACCGCGATTACCTCCTTCTGTGCATTTTCGCGAGAAACAGTATACAGTACCGAGGATCGTCTCGCTCATCTTTTTACGCAAGCGAGTCTTCAGCCAGATGAAAGGGGATGGATATTTTGAATTATCTTCTCTATTATCGTGGAAAAAAAATGTATTCTGAAGAGCAATGCAATTTTTTCGAATACGAAAATGGAAAATAATATTCGGAGAAAAATAATATTAATTTTTTTTGACAAAAGCGTGACATATTTCCTTGCAAACGCCATAAACTGGAACGCGTTGCGCGAATATCTGCGTATAATTAACAATTATCCGTCTTGTTTCGCCCCGAAAACTGGGATACGGTTCGCACATGCGCGGAGGCCTCCGCGAATGATTCTCCGATGAATTTCGTCATCGCGACGAATGCCACAGGGGGATGAACGGGGGAAGGAGGGAGAGAAAGGGATCGAAGGGGAAACGGGGTGAGAACGCTTTCGGGGGTGGGTGGTTGGTTGTTGCTACGGATCGGGATTCGTACCGCCACCGGCAACCCCGTCGGGGATAGGGGTCTCTTCCGGGGGTTTAACACACGCACTCCACCCTCTGTAGGCGGAGTGTACCGCCTACGAGCTACCCCCACCTGCCATCGTGGTACTGATACGCGATATCAGCGAACACTTGTTGCTCCGACGAGCGTAGAAAGCGACGACGTTCGTCTCTCTGTTTTCTCCCCCATCCTCCCTTGCCACCCCCATCCCCCCCGCGATTTTTTACGTGCTGATTTTTCTGTCATCACTCCCACCCCGAACGATCCTCCTCCCCTTCTTTTTGCCCTTTCCCGTAACTAATCCGATAGGATAATATTCCGCTCTGTCGAAAACGAGCTCGCCGCACGATGGCCAGCGGAATTAATTCGTTATTTCGCAGCGTACATTGTTAGAAACAATAACGCACGTGAAATTGGGAATTTATATGCTGCGGATGTCCCGGATGTACCATAATGGTTTTGACGATGGAACTCGAGCGATCGAGAAATATAACTTCTCTCTATATACATATTTCGATTCGATACACATTATATATCGTTAATATTTATTCATAATTATTACATTATCGAGAAGAAGTGGAATGAAACTATCAGATAGCTTCTTTTATTTTATTTTATCATTTCATATATGTCATTCTCACCTAAATCATTTCAATAACTGTTCTCTCTCACGAATAGAACTTCCAACACACATAACTTTCATGAGGAGTTAATAATTTATGATTATTACTTTCTTCTGCGCGGAATCAATTCGGGTCGTTTCCGCGAGCTCGAAGGATTTTTTCCCGAGAAAAGTTAATAAACCAAGTTGTTCCTCGTTTGTTTGCAGGCAGTGCGGTGGCTGCAGCCGACACCATTTCCGCACCGTGGACCCCCGCGAGTTCCGGGCCGCCGCCCGACGCCAACGGCTCCGGCTCGGATACGAAGAACCTCGACGTTGGCGAAATTAGCGATGTAAGTTGACTGCATCTCAATTAATGCCGAAAGTATATATATATTTTTTTTTTAATCCTAATTCAATCAACCGAGTTTTTTTTTTTTTTGTTTATCTTTATCATGAAAAACATACAAAATCCTTTATAAAAACTGTACAGTGGTTCAAATGTAGCAATTACAGGATATTTGATTTTACGCGAAGATTTAAATAAAAATCTCCGTGACAAAGTACGGATGTACGTAAATTTTTGAGTTAGTTGAGTTTAAAAAAATATCTCAGAATATATTATGTAGTGCAAAAAGATTTCTTAACAATTTCATATATAATTTTTTCAAGTCCTCAGATATGTAATGCGCATATAATTATTTCGAAAGATTTTCTCAAACGTCTTAAAGGATTGCAAAGATCTTTTATTTAATTCTGATTTCGATGCGCCTTCAATCTAATTTCGCGCTAGCCGTGGGCAAGTGCAATCGCGCTTATCGCAATCTCGGCTGAAATGCGTGTCAAACAAATGCTTGATCGGTTATTAAAACCTTTCTGTTTTCGACGTGCGAGCACGCGTTCCCATCTCGTCTACAGTTATGGCACATCCATCCTCGATTGGTCTTGGCATCCGGTGTTTCTTATCAAACCCCGCTCGCTCGTGAACGGCCGCGTTAGTCTTCGTTTAATCATCCGGACTCGCAAAACCTGGCTAGCCTCGCAGATTCATCTCTCGCGCGCGAAAGAAACGTACGATTAAGTATCGCGTCTTTAACAAAGTCGTTAGAGGCTTTACCGACCACGGATGCTGCAAACGAGTGAGTGCCACTGGACACGCGAGTATCCGTTTTTGAACACCTGGCCGGATGTCGAGGACGACTCGGTAACGTCACTTTGTTTGACCCCGTTCTTAAACGGTCATTCATCTTTCGTCGTGGCAGTCGCAGCACAATGTTGCTACTGTGATTCGGTATATTTATAATTACTGTAGTTCGATATATTCCTAAAGAAGAACCCTGTAGGTACGTTTCAAAGAAATCATTTTTATTATATATCATTTTGTTTTTTTCATTATTTCTGACTTTAACTAAAATTCCAAGTTTTTCTGAAGGACGTATGATGCGCATTATTTAAAAATATATTTCATAAATCATATTTTCTCTGTAAAAAAAATTGTAAACTTTTCAAAAGTAATTTTTTTTTCTGAATTGAAAAATTAAGTAGAGGATGATACATTAAGATTAAAATGATTAAAATAATCCATTCTGCATAATAATTTTTTAATTTTTAGACATTGATGAAATGAAAGTTCTTATATATATATATATATATTTTTTATTGTATTATTGCTTTTTGGCACTTTAAATCTTTTTCTGCTAAAATATAACTTGGCTATTTTTACAGAATTTAATTAGTCATTATATTTAATTTTCAATAGAAAATTGAATAATATACCTTATATGATTGTGTAGTATACTTTATGAGAGAATTGTGCGACAAAACAGTTTTCTAATTGTAAGCTCCTCGAATTGAAGTCTCGATTAAAAATTAAATCGCTTTATTATTTTTAATTTATTTGTAAATATATTTTACTAAAAACTTTGAAAACTTCAAAGGTAGACGTCGCCTGTGCAATTTAACTTTCTCTCCTTGCTCTTTCTCTCGCATCTAATTTCTTCGACGCGATGAGAAAACATTTAGACATTTTACTTATTTACTCATCATCTACCGCGTTATACCATATATTATCCATATATATTATTTATTAAGTTTCATTTTTTATTTCTTATAACGAGATAGACAATATTTCTCTCTTTTTGTTTGTTCAATATTCTCGGTAAACTGTTCTCGTTGATTTAGCAATTCATACGAACGGAATACCACTTCGCGGTAGCATTTATCACTGATCTCTGCTCTTAGCCCTCGATTCTCAAAGCGGACGAGATCAAATCGAGAACTTTTTCGTACCATCTGGAGAGTCTCCCGTTCTGGATTGCGTGCTCGACGATATTATATCGAACATAGCGAACGTGACTAGGGTTCTCGGAACGGACAAGCTTGTGTTTCCTCGCACCCTTTCCACACTTCTCGGTATCTAAACGTCCGGGATAATCGTCCGTTTCTCGGCTCTTCGTGCAGCACGGAGGTTTTCGATTCGTTGAAATTCCGGTTCCAACGATTACCGTGGACTAGATGTTGTTCCCGTGTATCGTACATTCGCGCAAAAAAAGAAACGTCGACCCCCTTTACCGGATCGAAATAGAAGACATCCTGTAGAGCCACCGTGCCGCGAAGCTCGATGAGAGACGGACGTGCGAAAGAAAAACGGAAATGGCTTCGCGCGCCTCCTGGAGATCCTTTGTTTCGAAGGGACGAAGGTCTCCGAGGTCCAGCCACGATCGACCCGGTGGGATAAATCGCGCGCGGTCAGCGCGCCGGAATCGTAGATAAATGAACTTTTCCCGTGTCGAACGTGCCCAGGTCGCCAAAGTGCATCGCGGCGAAGACACTCTCCCGTTAGACGAAAAATGCGAGCGTGACGAACGTGACGAATGGTCGCGATGGAATTGGTATTTTCGAAATACGGGGAATGTGTGCTTCGATCGGAAATTGGCAAGAGGTCGAATCTAATTGTCATTGATCGAAGAAAGCGAAAATTATTTCATCGTTATTTATTGGCTTGATTGTTCGCAAGAGAAATAATGCATAGGGAATTAGTTTCATTCGTTCTGTCGACTTTACCTTCGCACAAGAGTACGATGGATTCATTAATTATTCAAGATTCGAATCAAAATTCAGCACTTTAATTTAAAAAACGCTTTTATTATATGTATCCTATATATGTAAAATTAACTCATTAATTTTGTGTAGTATGTTATATACTTTTTTTGCTCGACGATAGTTGTTAGAATCTTATTGAAGATGAAAAGCACATGACTATAATGATCCAATGCCATAATTGCAATCCATTCTTGGATTGCATTAAATTAGATGATTGTATTTTCCAGGACGAGAAGGACCTGTCGGCAGCGGACGCGGAGGGTGTGTGGTCGCCGGATATCGAACAGAGCTTCCAGGAAGCTCTTACCATATATCCGCCATGCGGTCGACGCAAAATCATCCTTTCCGACGAAGGGAAGATGTACGGTGAGTCCTGCAATTTCCTTGTCTATTGTTCTTCTATTATCTACCGTTTCTATTTTATAAAGACGGTTTTATTACGAATTTTTTAAAATTCGTAAATTCCCCATATATGCGTATATGTATATAATAAAAGCACGGAAGCTGATAAATAAAACTTAATTGTAATTGTATTTTTCTAATTAAAGTAATTTTAATTTAATTTATATGCAATTAATATAACAAAGATGCAAAGAAAATTATATTAATACGAAAGAATTAATAAAATTACAAATTTTTTTATTTTTTAAAAACAGTTTACGACTCGAACGATTTTACGACGATGTAATTATTAAAATTACATTATGATCGATTCAAATATCCTCGCAAAAATGATCTCGCTTCGCGATTGAGCTGTCGGTTCTCCCGTTCGTTCGCATTCGTACGTAGTGCATCCGAGAGCAGCCGGAGAAAAATCGGAGGAAAAAAACGCTGTTCTCCGTGCGACCGCCACCGGAAAGCAACCTCCTCCACTCGTTTCTTTCCCTCCCCCCATGCCTCTCTTTCTCATACGACGACGGCGGAGAAACGTCCAGACACGAGGCGTCGTTATTGCTCCGGTGCTGAGGTCAGTCTACGTGACTGACCAGATATTGCTTGGTACGAGACCGGTGGTACCGCCGTGTGGCCACCACCGTAAACCACCACCACCATTAACCGCCATGAACTCACCACTGGGGCAATAACGTCTCGTCTTCGAGAAGGAGAATATTCGCCCTCTCCGGCGCGAACTCCTACTTTGTGCCCTTTTTTGCCCGTCTTTTGTATTAATTCTCTCTCCCTTTCTTTTTTTTCTCGTTAAATTCGCCGTCGTATATCTTCGCCTTTTTTTTTTTACGAGGAATTATAATAAATTGTCGACGCGTGAATTCGTATACGATGTTTTTGACCGAGCAGGAATTCTACATAACAATATTAAGATCTCTGAGAAAAAGCAATAACGGAGCAACAGAAGACGCGACTTGTGCAAATCGCATTTTTTAAGGTTTGCATTTGGCAAAAAATCCATTACATACAATGGATTACTTATATACTCATATAGGTGCAAAAGTTTTTGAAGAAGAGGAGAAATACAAATAGTCTCCAAATGTTTCATAATTATATAGGCTTATATTTAAACTTGTATAAATGATATTTTGAAGCTCTTTTAAATAAAACTAGAATAAGAATTCTATTTTTTCCTTAATTAAAGTAATTAAAATTGTTGATTAGACATGGTAATTCTAAGGAGGCGGATAATTGACGTCGAGTCTGTTATTATTCCCGAAAAAAAGACTGCAAACGAACCCTGAAATTGACTCGGGTCTCTCCGCATTTTGCGGGATACAAGCTGCGCGTATACTGCCACTTGCCTTTCATTCTTACGTCTTGGTGAGCGAATTTTCCAGACTGTTCGGCAGGAGAACGTAGGCCGCATTCGCATGAATCCCATTCGTTAGGGCACAATGTCGCTTAATTTCCGAAAGCACTTGGCGCGAAAAGCCAAGCGGGTGGCAATTCAATCGTGGCGCGCGCGCTCTATGAAAATGGAGCTTAATTCAGGCTCCTCCGTGTCGTCGGTGCCGGTGGATGAAAACAGCAACAGCCGACGATGATGAGGAGGACGTCGCCGACGCCGGCGACGACGACGACAATGATGTCGAAGCGGCGCCGTATCGCTGCTATTCTCATTTCATTCTCACGTCACAGGAATTTTAATAGTCGTAGCGAGTGGCATTCATCGAATTTTAAACTTGCATTATTATATTCTTACAACATCTATTTCTAGCAAAAACATATATTGGAAAATGTAAATCAGGATAGACTTGATTTTTCTCTTTAATTTTGACTTTAGAAATTAGACAGTTTTGAGGAAAATTGTATTTCAATAGATATTAAATTATATATGTTTTGGATCATTTTTTTTAATAGACTTGAAGGAAATTTTAATTACAAGTTCAATCATCAATACCGAACTGTTAAATATTACATATATATTCATTAATGAATAGATTTCTCTATATGAATGTAGGTACACGTACGCACATATTTCTAGCTGTTGTTGCATAAAAATTGGTTCTCCACCTCTTCCAAATCTAATTAATTCGTGATAAGCCGAGATGAAACGAGTGATTCCTAAAGTACAAAGTTGCAGTTGGGGTGTATCTCAATTGAAAATCGCTTTCGTCGTCGATTATCGGGAAGTCGAGTGGATAAGTCGCTCTCTCTCTCTCTTTCTCTTCTCGGGACGCAGTTCACCCCTCAGGGGTAATTTTCCCCTAGCATTGAGGAATGCGAAAGTCAGCAATTCTTCGTATAGACGATGAAGGAAGGAAAGAGAGAGAGAGAGAGAAGGAAGAAACGCGCACGATATAAGATCGATCTTTCGACGTCACGAAAGACGAAGGAGCGTCGTCGTCGTCGTCGTCGTCGACGACGAGATGCAGCCGATCGTCCGCCGGATGGAAACAAAGGATAACGAGGCGCGAAAATCGCTTAACGCGATTGGCCATCGATCCGATGGGAAGACTTATCTTGCCCGTCGTTGCTCACTCGCCGAGCCAATAAAGGAGAGATCCCTCGGCCTTTCCGCGGGATTAAATATCTCGGGGCAATTTACCTCCTTCGATGCTCTCTCTCTCTCTCTCTCTCTCTCTCTCTCTCTCTCTCTCTCTCTCTCTCTCTCTCTCTCTCTCTTCCTATCACCCTTTCCCGACCCTGCGCATTCTCTCTCTCTCTCGTTCGTTTTCTTTTTCCCGGTCTCTTTCTCTCGTCTTAGACGCCGACGCCCACACCGTGATTTCATCGGCGAGAAACGATCCTGATGCGATACGAGAAGTGGAGAGAGTCCAATCGGTCAATCATAGAAATTTTATCACGCACTACCGTTATTGATAATAAATAGGATGAAAACAATTCGAAGATATCGCGAAAGATCATGCATGAAGAAATATAGAGGGAGAATAAATCGATAAAAAAGATCCATTAACAAAGATATTATTTTTCACGAGTTAGAAATTATTCACGAAACAAAGGATGTATTGAATTTAGAGAAAAATGTGCGTTGATGCATCATTTAATTGTACGAATGAATTTTTAAAGCTAATGGAAAAATATGGAATTCTATCAGAAAATCGTATTTTACACGTTTAGAAATAACGAAGCTCCGATATACGCGCAGCTGCACACGAAACGTCAGTTTATCGTAAAAAAAATCCTGCAAACGACTACGGACAAAGAGAGAGAGAGAGAGAGAGAGAGAGAGAGAGAGAGAGAGAGAGAGGAATCAGATCTGATATAATCCGGCCGATAAAGCACCGTTCGGGCCAGGTTCTATAGAAAATTTAACGAAGACCTGTTAATTGTCCTTGTTGGGAACATCTGAAAACCCGACGGGTGAATTCCACTCGCTATATATAAATTCCACTTGTTTCGCCTCATAAACCTATCCGCTAACCTTTACAAAAGGGTGAGGACATTACGAAAATCACCGTGATACATGTTCCAAGCTCTCTCTCTCTCTGGGTCTTTTCGAAAATCTCTCGGGCTTCGCTTGTCGGTAAACGCGGCAACTTTTTGCGAGCGCAGTCGATAGTCTACGAACAATGTCAAAGTGGACTTCCTGTGTCGGAGCTGCGGGCATATCGGATAGACGAGGGAAAGGAGGAAGAGAGGGTCTCTCGATATTCTTTGTGGCCGTTTTGCCGAGGTGGAAAGGATCTCTCTCTCCCTTTCCTTCTCTCCGAACAGCTCCTTCGTCCAAGCGGAAAGAAACCGCATCGTCCCTTCCCACGGAAAGACTAGATCCTTCGTCCTTACGTTCACGGCATCCAATAAACCAGCAGAAATAAAAGGCTCAGCTCCGTCCCCATCGTTGTCGTCCGCCGTCGTCGTCGTCGGGGTACGGAACAACTAGCGAGGAGGACAACGCGTTAGAGGAGCGTTTTAGGTTCTTGCTTATACATGGGGAAAGAAAAATTACCGCGTTCTCCGCTGCTGCGGTCTCCCGGAACACCTCCGACTTCCAACGGTGTAACTTCTCTCCCGCGGGTCAATGTTCCGGAACGAACTCCGTAAATATAGTTTCTTGCAAATTTCCTCGTCCCTTTTGCCTCTCCTCATCTCTACCCTCCTCTCTTCTTTTCGTCGTCCAGCTCCAGAGCTCGTTCCTCTGCCAGTTTCCGTCCGCCCGCTGGCGTTTACCAAGTAATATTACACGATCGCCGAGATACGGCGGCTCTGCTCCGCGAGCGACTACACACGAGAGAAGAGAAGCTTTTGAATAGATTTTCCGATCTATCGAATTTCCCCCACCGGGACAAGATTCGCTCGATATCGCGACGCAATCTCTCTCTCTTTCTCTTTCACCCCGCGATATATATCGCTGTACGTTTACGCTAATCGAGAACGCCGGATGTGAACGAATCGATGAATAATGGAGGAAGAAATAAATTGGTTTCTCGATTGCGAATTATGTCTTTATATAAATTAACGTCATAAATATTTATCAACTATGACAATCGGGAATATATATAAATATTTTGATATACCGATTTATAAATGATTAAAATTTAAAGTTGTACGATGCTTTTAATATCGCGATATTGAAAGACTCTGTTTGCTCTTCAAATTTTATGGAGTGAAATTTTTTCAGCAAATGGTGTACGATTTGTTTACAAATCTTTATTATCGCGTACCAAAAATGGCCATTTGTTTGACCAAAAAAAATGAAAAAGATTGTCAGGAAAAATTAAATGCAACAGAAGCAAATGAATTATGTTCATAACGACGCGTTGTCATCTCTCTTATAGATTACGCATTTAAATATCTTTTAGCCGGCTTTACGTCGATAGCTGCGAGGTAAAACGGGACCAAGAATGAATGAGAACGAACAGGTAGCCTGACGCTTGTTGTGAACTCGAGTTGCATCGCTCCGGGTCGTATTTAAACAGATAAATCGACCTACCCATATCTGGTCTTTATCCGCG